GAGGGAAACTTCACATAAGGTGTGAACTAGAGATTAATTTATTAATTAAAAAATTTATTTTAAGATTTTTTTAATAAATTATTTGAAAGGTTTATAAACTTTCATTAGATGTAAAAATTGAAAAAATATAGTTATTTCGTTAAAAAAAAGAAAAAGAAAGTAAAAAGTTTTAATACTTTTAATATTCAAGAAGATAAATATTAGGTATAAGATCAATGTGGCTGTGTGATCAGAGTACATGGCTCGCGTCCCAACTGTCCCGGGTTCGATTCCCCATGCGTGTAAAATTTTTTTAAAACTATTCTTAGGTGTTTTATATATGCAAGAATCTTAAATAGAATATAATATTTAAGTGAAATCAAAATAAAAAAATAAATCACTGAAAAAAGGATTTGGTATTGACAACCAAACGTTTGGTTGGTATTTAAGCAACCAAAATTTTTTTGTTGAATCAACAAAACTTTTTGGTTGTCTCAATTAAACTTTAGTTAGGACAACAAAAATCGTTTTTTTCTAATTTTGGTTGTGTCAAACAAATTTTGGTTGAGACAATTAAAATTTTGTTTATTCAACAAAAAAATTTTGGTTGCTTAAATACCAATCAAACGTTTGGTTGTCAATAACAAACCCTTTTTTCAGTGTATAAATAGAATATGAGAAAATAAATAAATAAAATGGAATTTAGAATAATAGTAAAGAAATAAATATTAAGGTAGAATAAATAATGTCAAAAACTGTCATGTATTTAAAATAAAAATAGTCTCACAAAGTATAGGGAAATTTAAAGGAAAACGGAGAAAAGGACTTGTTAAGTTATTCCCTAAGTAGAATATCTCAGGCCCACATTTTAATTTTTGCAAGGGAATTTTCAATAAGCTTCCTACTGATAAATAATTTACAAATTATGTATTTTATTTCTTTTACTATATAGAAAATAAAAAATAAACTCACATGTATACCACATTTTTCAAGAAATTTTCTATATCCGTTTTAAAATACGGACTATAAAAACCATTAAAACAACATATTTTCTCGTAAAGCTTCTTTTACTCCTGGATCTGTATCTTCCCTCTCTTTCTCTCTCTCTCTCTCTCTGAAAAACTCCCTGACTTCTTTTCGTATCCTATATATATGAACGAGTCTTTTTACTACCAGAACAGACTTGCAGTAGTTAATATCTGAAATACTTTGAGAAATATATACCGAAGATCTCTTGGCAATAAAAGATCAATCTATACGCGTATTAGCTGTTGAGAGAAAAAACGAGATAAAAAAAAAAAAGAAAAAACTGAACCGTAAAAAGAGAACTATACTTATAGAATCGTGAATTGTTGTTCGTGGATATATATATATATAGAGAGAGAGGGAATGGGGCGATTGAAGGTATATGGCAAGAGAGTGAAACTGGGAAGGCGTTAGAAAAAGGCGCAAGAAAACGTTTTGTAGATTCCAAGACCGATGGAAGATGATGTTAGAAAAGCGTAAAGTTCTTTGGGAATGGGTATATTGAAAGGTGTGAGAGAGCGATGGGGTTGCAGGAGGAGAGGATTGGTAATAGTAGCAAAAAGGGGATGAGTGAATGCTGTGTGTACGCAAGAGAGTGAGAGAGAGAGGAAAAATGTTGGACGATTCAAGGCAAAAGAAAAGAGATGGAGTCGCGCTCAGGTATAGTGTGGAGGGTGGAGATATTGCCGCGTTTGGTTCCTGAAGCATGTGTGCGCCATAAATAACATGTAAATATTTTCAATAACTGCCGCGGCAGTCTCGGCATGAAAAATGCAAACCTCTTTGCGTCCGGTTTCGCCCGACGCCACTGTATCGCCTCTATACCATCCAATGTACAATGGGCCTTGGAAAAACTCTTTTTTAATATATATATATATATATAGAGATCCATCTGTATACCTTGGAAGACCCGCACAAAATTTATGTTACTCGCTGTCCGATATTTGTTTCACTTAAGTCAACTACTTGGTTTTTTTTAACTCTTTTCTTTTTGGATTTCCATCTTGATACTGACAAGAAAGGGGTTGTAAAATTTTTCCTCTAAAACGATTTTCAATTTTTGTCTTGCGTGACTCTGTTTTTTAAAATTATTTCGTTTAACATGATTTAGCAACCAGTGTAGAGATTTTATTAAACAAATTTTTATCGAAATCATTATACTTACAAGTAACACTACCCAAGTACCATACGCCGATTTTTTTTTTTTTTGAAACTTACTACTAAAATATCGAAAAATATATAATGAAGTCGCAGATATTCAAAATGGTGGATCAAATATGGCGTCCATTAAAATTGAAAATCTATCGGATTTATTTCAAAATTTTCTCATGAATAAGGTAAAAATTTGTCGTTATTTATTTGTTTTCAATCTGTAGTAAACGTTCGTTTGACTTTTTTTGCTGTAATGACATAAAATTTTGTAATCAGCGACCTCAAAAACTCCCGAGTGACAATTTTCAAGCAAAATCCGATTGATTTTCAATTTTAATGGCCGACATTTTGAATTTTGAAAATCTGACTTTATATTCGTAATCAGCGACCTCGAAAACCCCCGAGAGTAACAAGTTTCATCAGAATCTGAAAAGCTTTTTCTGAGATACAAATTTTATACCTTAAATATTAAAAGGGTTTTTTCTATCCTTAAAACTTCAAACGGGACGATATATAAAAATACGTGTTAAATATTTTTCGATGTTTTAGTAGTACCTATACCAAGTTTCAAAAAAAATCGGCTTATGGCACTTGGGTAGTGTTACTTGTTAGTTATTAATTCACAGTTTTAGGTATCAAATTGATACCGTAAATCGGACCAACTCGTGCAACATTTTGATTCCCTGATTATAAGACATCAAATTGATCCAAATAATTTTGATTTAATTAATCCTAAAAGGCTAAAACAAATATTAACCTAAAAGTAGTTTAATACAATTATTTTTGATTACCAGATTAATTATCTGTTTGTAAAAAAATAGATTTGAGAAGCAAAAAATTTGAAATTTGTTAAAAATTAAAATCTAACATCAAAATTTGGATACAGCGACCCCAAAAACCCCCGAGGAACAAGTTTCGAGCGAATTTGATAAAATTAAAAATTTTTTATTTTGGTAGCCAGGATCCGACATTTTGAATTTTTACATACCAGAATTTCCAATTCACCGAACCTTTTTTTGTACAAATTTTTATTTGATATAATTCTTAATACACATCGAATTTCCATTTGTTTGAAACTGTAAAATTTTCTTAATAATTTCTTATTGGTTAATTTTCAAAATTCCCGCCAAAATTTTTCTGTCAATTTTTTGTTGAACATTTGCGGTTACGGAGAAATGACAATTCAAAGTTTGAAGAATTCTTTTAAACAACAATTAGTGCAAATAAAAATGAAGATTAGGTTATTTGAAAATTCTGACATTTAAAAATTTGAATCACTTAAAATTCGGTTGAATTAATTCTACTAAATTAATATTCGGTTAAATTAGAATTTTTTAAAATAAAAAGTTGGGTAAAGAGAAATTTTGTAAAATAGAAATTCTATCAAATTAAAATTCGGTATATCAAAAAATTATGTTAAGTAAAATTTTGTTTAAAAAGAAATTTTGGCGGATGCTAATTAAAAAAAAAACATTCAGACAAATAATGTCCAAAAAAAAAAATATTTGTCCAAATTTTTTCATTTTGATTTTTATAACCTTCTAACATTATATATATTTCTCTATTTTAATCAAATTCTTTCCATCAATATTTTGATATGTAGAAACTTTTTAGTTATGTTTCCAGTCACGATTTTATTTCACTTTTAGAGAAAACGTTTCAAAATAGAAATAGAATTTTAGATAGAAAAATACAAAATAAAAAAAAATTAAATTTTATAACGCGTTTGTTTTTTCTAAAAAAGAGAATTTTCTAGTTCAATGGAAATTTAAAAATATTCAAAATATAAAAAAATTAAGTTGCGAAAGATTTTTTATATAATAACCATTTGTTAAAAAAATTTTATTTTGAAAATTAAACAATTTTATAGAGTCTGCGTAATCTATTATTTAGTAATTAGTTTCTTTATTTTATAAATAGCAGCGTTATACATATGTATTATACAATTTGTATTTAAAGGGCACTTTACTTTTGAAGTCCCGTAAATAAATAAGTAAATAAATAAATTTAAAGTTGAATATAGGACAAAGGCCTTTTTGACTAGTAAAAATTTTGGTCCCATTAATTACAAAAGATTGAATAACAAATTTTTTATTTAAAAAAATTTTTTTTTTTTTTGATGTAGAATTAGAAATTCCCTAACGAACACTTTGAAACTCTAACATCCTAAATTTCAGAAAATCTAGTTTATTATAGTCCCAATGGTGCACTCTTAGATTTATCCAACTTTTAAAGTTTTTTTTTTTATTTTTTCATTTAACTGTAGCGCATGAATTTCCATACTATTTTAGTATAAATAGAATTTAATACCCCATTAACAAAGTTGCTACTTTCTTATATATATATATAGTCAATGTAGAATTCATAATATTTTTAAAAAAGTGCACATTACAATAATAAGTCTCAAAATCAGAACCCATTGAGTTTAGTTAAAATTATATTATAGTTGTTTAGAATTGTACTAATAGTTGTCTTATAAAATTCAATTTTACAATTCTGGAATGTATATGTGACACTCTCTTTAGTCTTAAGAGTAAAAATAATTTTTATAAAACACATACATATAGTTTTAGATACTAAAAATATTTTCTCAATTGGTTGTAATTTAATGTAGGTTTTAATTGAATTGTTTAAACAAAAAATTAGAAAAAAACAATAAAAAAAAAATTCATAAATTTTGAAAATATACCATTTTTATTATTAATTTTTTATAATTATAAATAAATTAAGAGTGCATGTACATTCCAAAATTTGATAATTTAAAGTTAATTTCGAAAATACTTGTAATTTTTATTTTTAGCTAAAATAGAATCACAAATCAATCAAATTTCTAAATGTTACAGGGGTTTTGGCTTCATCACATTCGCAGATCCTTCGAGCGTAGATAAAGTATTGGCACAAGGAACACACGAACTAGACGGCAAAAAAGTAAGTCTTCTTTTATATTTTATTAAAAAAAAAAAAAAAAAAAAATTCTAAATTGAATTAAGATTTTTAAATTATCTTTAATTTTTGTACTTTGGTTTTGATAAAGTTGCATCATAGCAGTTCATTTTTGAATTTTTTGAATATTATATTTAAATTTATTACTTAGAAGAAAATTGTATAACATTTTTTTTACAATCCTTCGCCATATTGCATCTTTCATTTTGAAATATATAAAATAACATTTTTTTTTTTTAAACAAAAAATATTTTTAAATACCACATTCCATGAAGAGAAAAATCTATTGTTTTGTTTTTAATTCTGTCAACTGTATGTCGAGAAAGTTTTTTGTAATTAATAAGACACTTAAAAATAACAATTCTCTATGACTTTGATAAACAAATTTTTTTGCTCTAATATTTTCAGAAACTTATTTCAATTACAGTAGAAATAAAAAAAAAAATAGAGTTAACATTTAAAATGTTAGATGTTCCATTTGAGAAATTCTGACCCATAAAAATAGTATAAAATTTTTTTGTAATTTTACAGAGTATATTAATATTTTGTAAAAAGTTTTATTCATAATAAAAAATCTATATTAATAAAATTAGACTTTTGTCTGTACATTGCTTAGAATTTAAAAATTCATGTATATAATTCTTCGTTTCAAGTCATAAGGATTCTAAAAATAGCATTAATAAAAATTCTGTCTGTCTGTCTGCACAATATTTTGTTCGCCAATCACGCATAAACGGCTTGACCGATTTAAGTGAAACTTGGCAGTCTTTTAGGTATTAGACTAACTTAAAATCTTAGCCATACCCCATTAAAAAATATTAACTTGAACGGAAGTTATGTCACTTTTTGTAAAAATCGAAATTTAAAATTTTTTTATCTTTTCGCTTATTTTAACTAGACTTTTTTTTAGAAGTTTTTTGAGGTTAATTAATTGCATTTTTACCTTAAAATTGAGAAAATAACTGATCGATTTGAAATTGTGAAGAAAAATTCCAAAAATCAAATTTTTTAAATTTAATTTCTGTTATATTTTACTAAACCATTTTTAGCTACGTTTTTGAGTCCAATTAATCAAATTTAACTTTAGAATTAAAAAACAATATCATTGAAATGCTTTTATATAAGCATTCAATATTGTATATTTAATTTAAATAAATTTGAAACAAAAAGAAAATGATCAAATATATATAGCTTAGAACATAAAACTTCTTAAATAATGTTTCTTTTTAAGAAATAAAGAATCTAAAAATGAAAAAAGGTAATAGAATAATGATACTGTTTGCAAAATTTGGTTCGAGAATTATCAAAACAAGGCTTAAACGAAATCAAATTAATCATGGTAATCTGTTAGAGATTCAAAACATTTGAAATCATTAATTACGAAGTTGATAAATTAAAAATTTTAAACAATTTTAAAATTTAATTTATTTATTAATTCAAGTTTTTAATAACAATCAACTATCTATACAAAAAATTATTTGCACGAAAATACTGTTGGGCGCACACCACTAGATTTCGCTCCCGCCGAAAGCGGGTACGAAAGCTAGTTATAAATAAAAACTTATATAAATATATGAATTTATATCATATTTTATAAATTCTATAGCATATATATATATATATATGCTTTTGAATAAATAACTTTTATGCTTCACAGAAATGTTGTAGATTCAACATGATATTTTTCTCAGTATATTTAAAATTTTTAATATCTTTTGGATTGACATTTTTAATTAAAAAAAAAAATAAATAAATAAAATACTTTGCATTTTTTTTATTTATAATTAACAAAGTATAGATTTTGTGAATTATAAATAAATGAATTGCAAAATTAAAATTAAAAAAAAAACGTTTCATTAAAGAAAACAATGTAAATGAATTTAGTTCTTTTTTTCTCAGTAATTTTTTCTATGTAAATAAATAATATCAAATTTCAAAATAGCAAATACACTTTCCTGTATAGTAAATAAGATTCCATAAACGTTTGATTATGTCTGACTTAACGTACTATATACTACTGACAGAGTTTCATTTGATGGGATCGTTGGAAAGAAGAGAGAGAGAGAGAGAAAGTTGCTGTTGATTTTATACACCATTAAGAGGATCGTGTTTCTTATTCGAAACCGGAAATCAGAAAGGCGAGGCATTAGATCGTCACTAAAATGAAGGCCTTTTGACCTTCTGTCTATTGAAAGACATTTCAATGTTATTCTCCAACAAATTGTGACCCAGAATCGTATTACATTTTTATTTTATTCTCAATTTACTCTTTAATATATCAATACCTCCACACCGAAAAAACGAAACTCTAAATTTAATAATATCTTCTCAGCTTCTATTTTAAGAATATTTCCCATGCATTTTATTCTTATTTTAAGAATATTATCTTCTAACTTTAAGAATAAAATTCATGGGAAATATTCTTAAATAGACGCCAAGATGATATTCTTAAATTTAGAATTATGTTTCTTCGGTGGACAAATTATTTCTTCGATACTATTTGCACAATTTGTCTAAATTTTTGTTTCAAAAAAAAATAAATAAATAAAAAAAAAGCTTTGTTGCCCTAACAAAAAAAACTTTGGTTGGACTAACTAAACAATTTTTGTTATGCCAACAAGAAACATGCAACCAAATATTTTGATGAACTCAATAAAATAGTTTGATTGCTGAAATATCAACAAAATTGTTTTTTTCCCAACCAAATTTTGTTTGTTGAGACAAAATATTTTTCTAAATATAAAAAAAAAAAAAAAATATTTGATACAATTATTAAAAATAGTGTATGTGAAAATAAGCCAATTTATATTCTAAGAAATGAATGACGAAAAAAAAACCAGTTGATATCGAAAGTCGGTCAAGTCAGTTTAACAATTATTATTCCAAAGAAAGTTGTGAATGCAATATTTTAATAAATTCCAGTGACGAGAACTTCCGGCAAACGGTATAAAATTAAATAAAAGTGACTTAATTTCTTTAGATAAGGATGCATCCTCTTTTGATGTTTTCTTAAGTTTGGTCGGAGACACAGTTTACCGACTGGATTTGCGGGCTTAAAATGACGCTATAAGGGAAGAAAGTAGGGTTGTATATAGCCGAGAATCCAACGCAATGGGGTAAGATTAATAAAAATAAGACCCGAGGGTGGAATGAGGCGTCAGAAAACGTCGACGACTTTTTCTTATATATATATATTTATCCTCACCAATAACAGAAGTCTTTCAGGCATAAAATAATAACCGCCTCTTGAGGGAAAATACTGATATATAAATATTCTTCCACTTTACACTTTTCAATTCTCTTTTTTATACGATGAAGAAGAGAATCGCTGGAATAAAAGTATGAGAAAAAATATATTAATAAATAGAAAATAAGCAGAGATATCGTCGAAAAAGGAAATGTGGTTTTGTTGAAAGGGTACCTCTTTGTCTCTGTCTTCTATAATTGCTGTTGTTATGAACCCACAAAAACACCTCGAGTGTAAAAACTCTTCACGAAAGGACGAGTAATTTAATACAACTCACATTTTTCTTATCACAAGTTTTATATTTAATCAATTTTTTTACTTATTTTTACATTTTTTTTTTTGTCTTCATATCGTAATTTAATAAATTTATTTTTAATATTAACATTTGCTTTTAAAGAAATAGAGTATAATATGTATAGTACAAATTTATTTATTTATATATTTACAATTATGTAAATTTATTTAGACTTCAACTTTGATTCTTATTTCCACTTTGACTTTGATTTTAATTCTGAATTTCATTTTTATTTTCACTTTTTGTGTTTTGTTTTTGTGCTGAACACGAATCCAGGTTCGAAAAATGCCCATCACGTTATGTTTTCGAGAAAATAGGGGGTTGAAATCCCTAAAAACAGGGTTTTTGGCCATTTTTGAAAAATTATACAACGGAAACCTATAACGTGGTACAAACTTCACTGATATCAGAAATTAAAGGTTGGTCCATTCCCTTTCAAATGAGACCTATTCCAACTTGATCGCAATCACCCTTAGAGCAGGGGGTGTGTTTATATCCATATCATTACTACATTTTAATTTTAAGTTATTCCGACTTTTTACAAATATGTAATAAAATGCATAATGTTTTTCATTTTAATAAACTTGCGTATCAAATTAAATCAAAGCAATTGAATTTTTGAAATCTGACTCGAAATTCGTAATTAGCGACCCCGAAAACCCCCAAGTGAACATTTTCAAGCCAATACTATTAAAATTAAATTTTGTCATTCGCCATATTGGATCCGCCATTTTGAATTTTTGAAATCTGACATGAAATTCGTAATCAGCGACCTCAATAACCCTCGAATTACTATTTTCAAGTCAATTGGATCAAATTTTTATTTTGTCATCCGCAATTTTGAATTTTTGAAATCTTACTTCAGATTCATAATCAGCGACTCCCCGTGTGGAAATTAATCGTGGAAGTCTAGCTATAGCTAGCAACACCACTGGATTCGTAGTGGCATACAAACAGTTACAATAGAATACAAAATCTTTGTACATAGTGTTATAATAATAATACAAACAAAATTCAAGATTAAAAAAAAACTATAATGCAGAAAATTTATTTGTTAATTTATGGAAATTTATGAGGTAATTTATGAAATTTTTGAGGTAATTTATAATTGTAATACAAACAAAATTTAAAATTTAAAAATTATTGCAGGAAATTTCTGCGGTAATTTATAATATAGGTATAAAAGAAAAATATGGAAACTAATTTTGGAAATTTATGGTAATTTATGGAATTTTTAAGGTAATTTATAATATACAAAAGAAAATTTTAAAAACTAATTTTGGAAATTTATAGGGTAATTTATGGAATTTTATTTGGTAATTTAAGAAAATTTAATGGAAATATATATGTTGTAATGTTGTAAATTATTTTTAAAAAATTTTATCGTAATTTTTAAAATTCACCATTCCCGCAATACTATAGCTATAGAGGCTAGAATAGAAA